GTTTTGGATGTTAATGGGCTTTATTTTACACTTTTATATTATTTTTGGACTAACCTATTAACCTAGAGCCCAGTGCCAGTTTCTGTTTTTTCCTTGTTTTTGAGTTTTACAGAAAAGGAATACCAAACGGAGTCCAATTGACGTGCCAATTTTTGACGATTTTTTATGGACCAAAAGAAGACCCCGGAGTGAAAGAGTTGGGCCAGAGGAGTCCCGAGCCGTCCACGAGGGTGGGGGGCGCGCCCACCCCCCAGGCGCGTGGGTCTGCCTCGTGGACGCCTCGGGCACCTCCTTGACGTGAGACCGACGCCAAAAATTCCTATAAATACAGAAACCTCCAGAAAATAACCTAGATCGGGAGTTCCGCCGCCAGAAGCCTCCGTAGCCACCGAAAACCAATCTAGACCCGTTCCGGCACCCTGTCGTAGGGGGGAATCCCTCTCCGGTGGCCATCTTCATCATCCCGGTGCTCTCCATGATGAGGAGGGAGTAGTCCACCCTCGGGGCTGAGGGTATGTACCAGTAGCTATGTGGTTGATCTCTCTCTCTCTCTCTCTCTCTCTCTCTCTCGTGTTCTTGATTCGGAACGATCTTGATGTATCCGCGAGCTTTGTTATTATAGTTGGATCTTATGATGTTTCTCCCCCTCTACTCTCTTGTGATGAATTGAGTTTTTCCTTTGAAGTTATCTTATCGGATTGAGTCTTTAAGGATTTGAGAACACTTGATGTATGTCTTGCATGTGCTTATCTGTGGTGACAATGGGATATCACGTGATCCACTTGATGTATGTTTTGGTGATCAACTTGCGAGTTCCGTGACCTCGTGAACTTATGCATAGGGGTTGGCACACGTTTTCGTCTTGACTCTCCGGTAGAAACTTTGAGGCACTCTTTGAAGTTCTTTGTGTTGGTTGAATAGATGAATCTGAGTTTGTGTGATGCATATCGTATAATCATACCCACGGATACTTGAGGTGACATTGGAGTATCTAGGTGACATTAGGGTTTTGGTTGATTTGTGTCTTAAGATGTTATTCTAGTACGAACTCTAGGATAGATTGAACGGAAAGAATAGCTTCATGTTATTTTACTACGGACTCTTGAATAGATCGATTAGAAAGGATAACTTTGAGGTGGTTTCGTACCCTACCATAATCTCTTCGTTTGTTCTCCGCAATTGGTGACTTTGGAATGACTCTTTGTTGCATGTTGAGGGATAGTTATATGATCCAATTATGTTATTATTGTTGAGAGAACTTGCACTAGTGAAAATATGAACCCTAGGCCTTGTTTTCTAGCATTGCAGTACCGTTTGTGCTCACTTTTATCATTAGTTACCTTGCTGTTTTTATATTTTTATATTCCAAAAACCTATATCTACCATCCATATTGCACTTGTATCACCATCTCTTCGCCGAATTAGTGCACCTATACAATTTACCATTGTATTGGGTGTGTTGGGGACACAGAAGACTCTTTGTTATTTGGTTGCAGGGTTGCTTGAGAGAGACCATCTTCATCCTACGCCTCCCACAGATTGATAAACCTTAGGTCATCCACTTGAGGGAAATTTGCTACTGTCCTACAAACCTCTGCACTTGGAGGCCCAACAACGTCTACAAGAAGAAGGTTGTGTAGTAGACATCAGTTGGGTTGGCATAGATCGAGATTAGGATTTGTCACTCCGAGTATCGGAGAGGTATCTCTGGGCCCTCTCAGTAATACACATCATAAGCTTGCAAGCAAATGACTAAGGAGTTGGTCAGTAGGTGATGTATTACGGAACGAGTAAAGATACTTACCGGTAACGAGATTGAACTAGGTATGAAGATACCGACGGTCGAATCTTGGGCAAGTAACATACGGATGGACAAAGGGAATTACGTATGTTGTCATAACAGTTCGATCGATAAAGATCTTCGTAGAATATGTAGGAGTCAATATGGGCATCCAGGTTTCGCTATTGGTTATTGACCGGAGAGGTGTCTCGGTCATGTCTACATAGTTCTTGAACACGTAGGGTCCGCACACTTAACGTTCGATGACGATATTGTATTATATGAGTTATGTGATTTGGTGACCGAATTTTGTTCGGAGTCCTGAATGAGATCACAGACATGACGAGGAGTCTCGAAATGGTCGAGAGGTAAATATTGATATATAGGACGATAGTATTCGGACAACGAAAGTGTTCCAGAATGTATCGGGTATTTATCAGAGTACTGGGGGGTTACCGGACCCCCCTCCCCCGGGGGGGGGGAATATATGGGCCATATGGGCCATGAGAGGGGAGCACACCAGCCCACAAGGGGTGGCGCGCCCACCCACCCCCCATGGCAGGTGGCCGAATAGGAGAAGGAGAAGAGGGGGTTCGCCCCTCCCTTCCTGCTCTTCTTCCCCCTTCCTTTCTTCTCCGACGGAAAAAGGAAAGGGGGCGCCACTTGGGGAAACCCCAAGTAGGATTTGGATCCTACTTGGGGCACCCCCTAGCTGCCTCTCCTCCCATCCCACCTATATATACGTGGGGAGGGGGCGCCTAGAACACACAACATCAATTGTTGGCCGTGTGCGGCGCCCCCTCCACAGTTTACACCCTTGGTCATATTCTCGCGGTGCTTAGGCGAAGCCCTGCACGGATCACTTCAATATTACTGTCACCATATTGTCGTGCTGATGGAACTCATCTACTTCGTCGACGTCTTGCTGGATCAAGAAGACGAGGGACATCACCGAGTGAACGTGTGCAGAACTTGGAGGTGCCGTACGTTCGGTGCTTGATCGGTCGGAGCTAGAAGAAGTTCGACTACATCAACCGCGTTGTCAAAAGCTTCCGATTTCGGTCTACGAGGGTACGTAGACACAGTCTCCCCATCGTTGCTATGCATCTTCATGGATAGATCATTGCGTGTGCGTAGAATTTTTTTGTTTTTTCATGCAATGTTTCCTAACAGTTCGTGGGATCGTTCATCGATGGTTCGAGGGACTCCAAGTGCGATCTACACCGTCATGTTCTTTTTCCGCTACAACTCGGTGACGGTAACGATCGTGATCTCGACCCCTAATGCATCTTCATATTGATCTTGGGTGTGCGTAGGTGTGATTTTTGTTTTCTACTATGTTTCCCAACATCGATGACCTCCAAGTTATGTGAGTTAATAACAAGATGGTTGCAACCTGCCCTTTGAACAATTTATAGACCATATCTAAGTTCCAAAGCTTCAACCATCAAGACATCCGTGCACCAATAAATTCTCCAGTTCCCCCTGCAATGAATCTTTCTCTATCGTCCCTCGAAGCAACACCGGTCGTGCCTCTAAGTACGTCATGATCAAAAGAGGCATCCACATCCACATTAAGTTTTACAAAACCCCTCGGAGGTTGGACCCAACCCTCTCTTTTCATAGTAGCCTTTGGTGATATAGCAATAACATAGTTTAACGTAATAGCATGAATCCCCATAGAGACATGGTTAGCATCTTGGGTTTTCTCTTTATGGACCAATTTTCGCCTCTCCCACCATAAGTACCAAGTTGTAATTGCAATCATCTCACGACATTCGGAATACCCAAGATAGTCAGCTCCCGTTCAGGCATAGAAAGTAAAAAAATCAAGAACCGCCTCACCAGCATAATCAACTTCGCAAGCTCTTTTAATGACCTGATCTAGTCCTAGCACTCTCCAAACCTCCTTTACTTTTTGACATTGAAATAACATATGCTTTGTATCTTCTGATCCAAAGGGACAAGCAGGACAATTGGGGGTAACTTTTATGTGTCTATTCGCCAAAGTAACTCTACACGGAAGAGTGCCATGCAGCGTGTACTAAATGATTTTTTACCTTCGAGGGGCAAGATAACTTTCAAACCCCACTCCAAATAGGATTAATAGTTACATATCTCATATCATCATTTCTTCTTAGTTTTCTCCTGTGTTGGCGTACTCATTGCACAACATAGGCTGATCAAACAGAAAATGTTCCATTCTTTGAATAGTTCCAAGCGACAAAGTCCAACATGTCATGTTGGGGCAATGAAATTGCAAGGACCCTATGTGCGTCAACTGCACAACATTTGTGTAACTAGATTTTCGTCCCAATTATTAGTAACAAGATCAAGATCAATTAAATCAGATACCATCAAATTACTCTATCTAGGTGTGATTACTTAATTTGCACAATTCGGGATCAAGCATCTTCCCAAATATCAATATTGCGACCATTTCCAACACGTCATATATAACCATGATTTAGACAATTAACCCCGCCATAATACTTTGCCAAGTAAAGAGGAACCCTTCTTTAGCTTTGCATTCAATAAATTGCCATTTGAGTGGCAACAACTTTATTTAACTAAGAATCTGTTCGAGAATACAAATGATGTCCTGTAAAACTTGAAGCCATACATGACGACCAAATGGTAAAGTAGTTGTTGCCTTTGAGAGCTTAAAGACACATGGGTACCTCGACGGGCGAGCACGGCAGATGGCACACGGCGTGCCACGGGCGGCCAGGCACAACCCATTTAGTCCTCTGCCGGGCACGCAAAATTCGATCGGTTTGGCCACATCTATAGCCACGGGGGAAGTTTCATGTGATACCGCCCCTTATATGTTACCGTGGTACCGGCTCCTGGGCCGTTGGATTGGATGAATTTCATGTCCGACGCATATGAGAAGTTGATGGACCTGCGTGCAATTTTAAAACTCTTGAATGGCTTTTGTGCAAATATTCAAGAGCTCCTAGGAGCCATTAGATCTAAGATCCAACGGTTCCTAGTAGACCGTATCATGGTATTACGTGAGCCTCGGGAGCACCCGATATTCACCCATAGCTGTGATCCAAAAAAGGAATTTACTCCCTCATCAGTAACAAAAATATATGACGGAGTAGCTGTGACCTCCCGCCCGAGGCCTACCGCGTCCCATCGAACATCGAACTAAACCCTAACTGGGAACGGCACCGCCAAAGTCAGGTTCCAAGCCCAAACTCGTACCCCCAAAATGGCGCCGCCGTCGCAGGCGGCCACCGGCAAGCGGGAGAAGCAGCACAAACCCGCCAAGAGCCTCGCCGTGAAATCAACCAATCCCGTCTCCAAGAAGACGCACAAGCAGAAGAAGCCGCGCCCACCTGCTGAGCAGGACCAAACCAACGATGCCGCCGCCGCCGCAGGTGAACCCGCGGGCGGTGGCGTCCTCTTGTCGGCCGCGCTTCCGCCGGCGCGGCAGCTCGAGTTCCTCCTCCGCAGCTTCGAGCGCGCCGCCAAGATGCGCCTCTCCCCACTCGAGCTCGGCGCCTACTCCGGTATGTTCACATTCAGACGAACCACTGTGCCGGGTCCTGTCCAACTCGATTCAGCGTGTCTCTATGCTCTTCTTGCTGTAAGTGTTGGATGGATTATAAAAGATTTCCGGATCCGCTGCGCTCTGTGTAGAGGGGTGCATGGTGCAGCTCGCGGAGGGGGCGAGCCAGGACGTTGAGAGCTTCGGTGACCATGTGAAGGGGGCCTTCGGAGCGACGTGGAAGGGGGAGCTCTGTGAGGGGAAGCTCGTTGAGGGGTCGATCGATGCGGGCAGCCCGGCGCTCCTGGTTATCAGCTTGGGCGCACTGAGATCACTGGAGCTTCTGAGGTAGCTGTTGTTATGATACTTTATCTTGTGAAACTGCTGTTGTTATGAATTAAATCGCTGCGCTTGCACTGCCACTACATCGTTTTGAAAAACTATCGTGGACGAGAACTATCAGAAGTTTCTATCATGTATATCTTCAAATTATGGTTTGAAGCGGCTGTTGCCCTGTTTTCATATCATCAACATTTGGTTTCTAGGGGGTTAAAGATGTTTACTAGAGGATGCCGTTCAGTAAAGCTCTTTGCCAAACACATGAAAGTGGAGGAGCAGGTACGCTTTGTCTCACATTGAAAATTTTCTGTAGCATCATGCTATTGCAATTTTCTAGTCATGCTGTACACCCGTACCCAAAATATGGGTGCATCCATCTTCAGTGCTAGTTGCAAACGCTTAGTCGCTAGGGTTGCTACCAAGATTTTTGAGTCGCCGAGTCAAGTAGAGTCATTATGACTCCGACTCAGCGATTAGTCGGGCCTAGTCGACAATTAGCTTCCCAAGTCGCTGCATTTTCCTGCCCTGCCTCGGCGACTCAAAACCATTGGTTGCTACCTTATTGCTTGTTGTATCCTGTTTGCCTGTAACGTTCACAAATAAAGCAGCTCTGTGCCTCTGTGATTCTGCTACAAATGCTCTACCTCGATTTGGTACCTTGATGTTGAAAGAAACCACAACATTATTTTATCATTATTTTTGTGATATCTGCAACCTAGCTGTCGTATTCGTGGCTCCCTCTGAACCATGGTCATTACTCTATCTGATGGGTGCTTTGCCATTGTTCTAATTCTTTTGGAGACACGACCTGTTTGGAAAAAAGTAGCTAACCCTATGGTAGCGCAAGACAGCAAAGTAGAAAGCAGAAACAACATGTCAGCAAAATGGCAGGAAATAGTCATCCTGCCTGAGCGCAACCATAGTTTCACAGTATTCTAGGTAGCAGGGTGAGCAACATTCGTCTAGGGTGGTAGCCCAATTATGACGCCTTTTCTCACCTTTTCCCAGTCTTGTTTCTCCCTCTTGTTCAACCCCCTTCTCCTCTCTCAGTGTTGTGTGAGACCGTCAGCGGTGGCTCGGTTTGGAGGGGGTGAGAAAACTTGATGCTCTTAGTCACATAGGACGGGTCAAAGCATATGGGCACCTTTTTTTTATTTGATTGTTCTTTATTTGCAGAATAGCAAACAAGATTGTTGTTAATTACGGCACGGGCATTCTGATTTATTTTCCTGGCCTCATACTAGTTTTTATTCAGTTATCTCATTCTCTGTGCTAATTTTCACATGTAGGTCACGCTACTTAAAGATCGAGTTAATATAGCCTGTGGTACACCCAGCAGGTATGCGATCTTGAATGCTCAGGCTTTTGTCTGGCTTATGTCTTTATGTTTAATCAGCACACAATGAGAGCTTAGTATTTGGTGGATTCAAGACCAATTGGGCTCACAACTTTTAACTTGTGGGATTTAAGATTTATTTTAGCTTTTAATAGTTGGAAGTGCTGTGATTCATCTTGTTCACATATAAAACGATACGTCCTTGTCGATTTGCTAGATTCAAGGTTTTATATTTGTCTTCCTCAGAACAGAGCATTTATTGTTTATTGTTGCAGCATA